CGAGCTTCAAGCTTTCAAGCTCCTCTACTGTCCAGCACTTATGTGAATTCAAGTGTTTGAGGTTCCTCAACTGAAAAAGAGTGAGTTGAAAGGGAAATAGAGAATGAGATGAGTGGGGAGAATAATAGGAAAGGTATGGGTCTTACATGACGCATCAACAAAGTCCAATTAATTATTTCTTGCAATTATAAAAAACAATTAAATCAATAATATATTTTTTCAATAATAAATAAATAAACTATAAAATATCTCTCAAAATATATTATTATCCTAATTAATTATTTTCTACTATTTTAAAAATAAGTAAATAATAACTACTAGTATTTCGAAATATGACTAAGAATATAATATTAACACAATTAATTAACTCAAAATCTTATATACAAATACACAAGATAGTATCTCTTCAAATAAATAATTTCAAAATCTTTATTTTTCTTTAAATACATAATATAATATCTCTTCAAATAATTTAATTATAAAATATTTATTTTTTGTATTTTAAAATATTCTTATCTATAAAAGCTCTAAAATAATCAAAGTCATAATATCTAATCAAAATACGTTAATAATATATATATATATATATCTAATAATTAATATAACAAATAATTTCACTCAAATGGAATCGCCTTACCGAGAATGTGATTAAGTGTAAATTGCGATTGAAGAATAGTAAGAAAGAGGGACTGTGAGTGAGTGAGGGCTGGGAGTAAGCGAGGGGGGTGTGAGTGTGGGTCTGGGAGTGAGCGAGTGAGGGAAGGAAGTGAGAAAAGAATTGGGGCGGGATTTTTTTTCACCTTTTTTTATTAAAGCTGCCTCCACTCACACTAAATCGCCCCTAAGTGGTTGCCACGTGTGACATGAAAGGGTAGAACCCGTATTTAAATATTGTGGCGGTTTTAAACAGTTGAAAATATCATTCTTTTGTGGCGATTAAAATAACTGCCAAAAATATAATATTTTGTGGCGGTTTACTAAAATCGCCAGAAAAAAACCCCTACTAATTACATTATTTTTTGTAATGAGTAAATATTATATTTTGTAATATAAACTCATAACCATTTACATATCAAACTTCTTATTTATATATAAAAATTAACAAATATACAATTATGTATATTTTTAAAATATATAAAAATATAAATATTTTTTCTTATTTACAATATAAAATATTTATCTAAAATAAATTTTAAAATATTTTTCACCTATAATTTTGTTACATGAAATTGTGGGTTGGAAAGGAAAAAGATTGTTACATGAAACAAGATTTTGTATCATTTCAATAAAGAAGTGTCAATAATCGAGCAAAATTTACACTCAAAAGTTCTCAAACTGAATAAGAGAGTTTTGAAAAATAGTTGAAAACTATTTGAGGGTGGAAAATTGGAGGTACAAATACTAATGGGTTTAGAAAATTTATAATATATAAGGTTTGTTTTTGTGACAACAAGATTATGATAATTCGAAGGTAAACACTATAGATACGCAGTTGGAAATTAGAGTGAGTGAGCTTTAAACATTTTTCAAAGTGTCGATCTTGTTATCACATTCTTTATACCTACGTTCCAACAAAGTACTACTAGACAATCATAATACTAACATGCATTTTCCCATTTACAATTTACTCTTACTATAACACTCTAAAACCAAAATGACACAGGAATCTTATAATCTCACAATGTGTATTGCAAAATAAATGGGTTGGCTCCAATTGAATGGCAAGATTACATATTAATAAGTTTTTGCCTCCTTGCTTTTGTGTCATATTTTTATTTTTTAAATAACATTTGAGCTAAGTATCACCGTTTAAGTCATTATTGTTTTATAACATATAATATAATAAAGTTGATTTTTACAATTTTAGACAATTTTATCATTAAATATTTAAATAATAAAAAGTTAAAAATTAATCATTCTTATAAAATAAATAAATAAAAAACTTAAATTCAATATCATTAGATTTAAAGATGAAATACAACACCAATTGATATACTAAAGATTAATAATCTTTAAACACTTTTATTAAATATCAACCCCACTAATATGATATTAAAATTTTGGTCCTCTATCAAATAGAAGAAAAAAAATCCTTACAAATGTGATTTTTAGGAAGTACACGAACAATAAAGTTTGTATTTATTTCTTATCAATGCAGATATTTTTAATAATATAATAACTTTTACAAGTAACAATGATAATTAAGCAAGACATGTGTAATTTCTAGAAATTTTCACAATCACAACACATTTCATCTAGATTGACTGTGAATTATTCAACTAGTTGTCCCTCTTTTGGGTTAAGTATCTTTTGCACTAGGAAATGCATATCGCATTTGTCGAACTCAAGCACATGGTAAGAGTTTGCTTTTGTTTTTGCATCAGTTAAAACGTTGTTTAATATTTTTTAGTATACTTATTGGATCTTAATTAAGTTACAAGTTTTCTTTGTCTTTAATTGAATAAGTTTTCGCACCTTTGATAAGTCGACATAATCAATGCTCTAATTGGTAGGTTTTTGATTTTTTATGTAATAAGTCAATTGTCTCAGTTGGATTTGTGGTCATATGCCTGGATCTTTAACCTCCACCTTATGTGAGAGTCTATTTAACTTGTAGGATTTGATCATGCTAAATTACTCAATATAACAACATAAATAATTTAAACACCCAAAACAACTATCAACTTAACAAAATCACTCATTGTGAAATGAAAACCTTCACATAAAGTAACGTATCGGGAGTTATACTACTCCTATCATGTTCATCCATATCTCATATGAAAGATAAGAAGATTTCCTACAACTCTTCTGAATACACCAAGTCCTAATTCTATCATCTACCTTGTTAAAAATTATAAAAACTGCAACAACTATAACTAATGCTGACAACTTGACCTCTGTTCACTAAAACAACCATATCTAGAGTTATAGACATTTTTTTTGGGTGATTCAAGTGTCATTGGAAAGCTAACATCCAAGGCTACAACATTCATGAAGACCCTAAGACCAAATTCGGTCATCTAGCCCCAGCACTGTGACGCTCAATTCAGCGCTCCAGCTCAAACATTCATGGATGAATAGTTTGTGTGTCTTATAGATATAAACTAAACATTTTCTAATTACAAGAAAAACGCATCAATACTTCAATTTCTGTCACATGCTTCTCTAACACAATTTCTTTGTTGCATGTAACATGGTAAGAAAAAAAAAACAACACCTGTGCATCCGCATGGATTAGTGCTAATGTCTTATCAAATACACTCATTAAAATAAAATTATATTATTTTTATTAAACACTTTAAATTGCTACATTTTTTAATTTCTAAGATATTTTTCAAAGCATAAAATTAAAAGCTTTTAAATCATAACTTATTTTATTTCTTCCTAAACATGTGTATAGTTTATGAACGTATTTTTTTAATAATATATTTTTACTTAATTGTCAAAAATATATTTAATATTTTATAAATTAAATTATACACCACATATGTGAGAAATAACATTTATTTATATATTATGTGAATAAAACTTTTATTTTTGACCTACATCAATGAAAAAAAAACATTTTATTAATTTTATCATTTTAAACTTTTTAAATATATGACACCTGTTATATTGATTTTGTTTTGAAAGAGAATGTTTAAAAGTAGCGTAGATAGAGTGTACCAGCGTAGTATTGCGTAAATCTTTTAATGCCGTAAAGAAATTAAACTTATAAACAGTTAAAATAAATTACTTGCTACACGTGCTAAAATCTGGTACATTCGATCAATCCAACGATTCACACTAGCTGAACGGCACCATTATGTTCTCGCCTCAAATTCAGGCAATCTAGATCCACCACAGACAATCCCTGCAAACATATGCTTTTTGTATAAAGTTCTGCACAAATTTTTAATCAATTATTTTTCGCTGAATATACACAGATGCCGATCCAGCCCAAATTTAATTGGGCTGCAAAATTTTGAGCGTTGAAAATTTGCTTAATGGATGTGACCCAACTAAACCTATTCAAATATGCTTGGTTTGGACTTAAATTCCCCCGCGACCAACCCATACATGAGCACCTCTTGTCATTTCTTATCAACAAGGTTTGTTAATTAAGCTTGCTGGTTCAAAGCAGTTTTAAATATACAACGTTAGACTCCAGTCACTCCATTAAATAGTGCAAAAAGCTTCATTTAAGCCTGATTAACAAACTCAAGAGTTGCATCTTTACTATTAGAATGATTAGATATTTCCTTTCCACTTATCATGGTTAACAATAGCTAACAAGTGTTTTCAAACACAACTGAAAACATTTTTGGATACTAGTTTAGTTAAGAGTTTCTATAAAGAAAAAAATACTCTTTAATTTTAGTAAAAAAAACTCTAAAAAAATGTTTCCGGTCTATATCCAAAATACTGCAATTAATTAGTTTCCTTTCCATTAGATGAAAAAAGCAGAAATCTCTTCTATTGCACATTAAATAGCTAGCTAGTGGTTCATAGTAATAACAAATGATCAGATAGCATGTATAAGATCTTGAATTCAATGTTTGTTGTTGTCTTTATAATTTTTCCATTGATAGAAAAAAAAAAGAAAAAAAAAACTAGCTAGCCGTTGACAGTAATAATAAACTAACAAAACCGAATTAATATATAATCACTAGGGCATGTATTTTTGAATCAAACAATTGAACATCTAACGAAGGGTCCATCAGCAATATTCAATTTGCACCTCTAAACCTAACTGAAAGCAGAATCATACAAGTCTCACTAAAAATAGCCATCATCCTCCCTTTGAATCCTCACTTCCACAAACAACTCACCAATGCACCATTTACTCCAATTCCATCCTTCACACACCACCACATTTCATCAACCAAAAACCATCCTCATCATAAGCTTGAACCACAGCCTCTTCACAATCAAAACAAAACCCATCACATGCAAAACAAGCATTTTTCTCTTTCAAAACTAGACAAAACCTAACCCTAAAAAACAATAATTCCACTACAATGACTTACAACAATCATTCCATCCTCTTCTTCCTCTTTCTATCCCTCCTACCCTTGTTCCAATCCCAGCTCACCGCCAACTACTACCAAAAAACCTGCCCTAAATTCTCCGAAATAGTCAACCGAACCGTGATTGGCAAACAACTCTCGGCGCCGACCACAGCCGCCGCCACACTCCGCCTCTTATTTCACGATTGCATGGTAGGCGGCTGCGACGCCTCCATCCTTGTCACCTCCAACTCCTTCAACAAGGCGGAGCGCGACGCCGAGATCAACCTCCCTCTCTCAGGGGACGGCTTTGACGCGGTCTCCCGTGCCAAGGCCATCCTGGAGATGGAGTGTCCCGGCGTCGCCTCTTGCGCGGACATCCTCGCAATAGCGGCGCGGCATCTCGTGGTGGCCGCTGGCGGCCCTGCCTTTGAAGTCCTCCTCGGCAGAAAAGACTCCCTGGAGTCCAAAGCCGAAAGCTCCGAGAAGCAGTTCCCCTTACCAACCATGCCAATGTCCCAAGTCATATCCATCTTCACCTCGAAAGGCTTCTCCGTTCAGGAAATGGTAGCCCTCGCTGGTGCACACACCATAGGGTTCTCCCACTGCAACCAATTCAGCAACAGAATATTCCACTTCAGCAAGAGTTCCGAAGTCGACCCCGCGTACAACCCTGGTTACGCGGAAGGGCTGAGGAAGCTGTGCGCGAATTACCAAAAGGACCCTTCGATGTCGGCGTTCAACGACGTGATGACGCCGATGAAGTTCGATAACATGTATTTCAAGAACTTGAGGAGAGGGTTAGGGTTGTTGGCCTCTGATAGCGCTATGTTTGCGGATCCGAGGACGAGGCCGTTCGTGGACACGTACGCCGATGACGAGGGTAAGTTCTTTCAGGACTTCGCACGTGCCATGGAGAAGCTTAGCGTTCTTGAGGTTAAGACGGGGACACAGGGAGAGGTGCGGTCAAGGTGTGATACCTTCAACAAGCTTAATATTTGAGATTTCAGAATCAGACCACGTTTGTGTTGTATTTGTACCTTTTTTTTTGTTTTGTTTTTGTTTTTGCTTGAAATTGAACATGTAGAACGAGAGTGATAGAAGAACTAACATGATGTAGAAAGTGGTATAGCTCGCATAAGACTTTCTGAATGAGTGAGTGTACGTAGGAGTACGATGGTAGCCGCGTATGTAACTAGCTTGTCAATGAAGTTCCTAGTTTTTTTTTTATTATATTTTAATATACTTCGAATCAAAAAGACATTTTTTTTAGTATAATACATGTTTTGTTTTAAATGTGGTGAAACGTCATCTTATTAGTTTTGCTTTTAAATTTATCAGCAAAAAGAAGGGTTTTATTACACAGTTTAATTTTCATATGAATTCAACTCATATATTTTCGGCCTAATTTTTTTTAGGCATATATGATATATGTAATAGGAATAGATTAATGTTGTCTTATTTATTAATTCATTAATATGACGCGAGAATCAAGTGAATATTTATCAGATGTATGTACGAAAATATCTTTATCATTTTCCATGTAAAAATCGGAATTAAAAGTTAAATTTACATTAAATATTACTTTATATTAAATAATGATTAATGTTATAATGCTCAAGACCTTTGAGTAAATTTCATTGGCTCCTACCAACTAAGAAAATCTTCATAATTTAATTAAGAAAGTAGTTATGAATCTAACTCGACTTAAAAAATTAATTTATAAAATAAAGATTGTTTTCTACTTATTATATAAACTATTATAACATTATTATTTGTTAATTTGAGATCTCTAGCACACTTTATTTTCAATGAAATTCATTTGGTAGGACTTTTTTTTATTTGAACTAACAATTAAACATGTTTTCAACTTAAATATGTTTTTCAAAAGAACAAAATTAACAATGAAATATGATCTTTACACTCAAATTTATCACTATTAAGCAAATTTGTTCAGTAACATTGATTTGCATTCAATAATAAAAGAAGTAGCGGTTACAAATAAATTAAAGAAAAAAACTATAAATTTATTAAAGAAAAGGTAGTAGAAAGAACATACATAGATTTCTCAAAACCAAATGCCATTTGAGAGTAGGTAGATTCCTCAACTTGTACTTGGCGGTGAGGAAGCATACCCAAACACGTTCTTGGCTACCATCACCTTCATTGATGGCATTAAGATAGAGCTATCAACACTTGACACCAACAAAATGGGATAATTAAAGATTAGAGTTGAGAAGGAACTGAGAGCCTAAGAGGATGTAGGCATGAAAAAAATTTAAAAAGGGAAAAATGAGAAGTCACTAATTGGAGTAGTTTTTATAACCCAGGGTTAGAAATAACATAAATTTGTAACCTAGGATTTGATCAAGGTGTGATTTTCTTGAAATTCTTTACGAGAAGATATAAAGGAAAAATGAAAAATGCCGAATACATATCGTGAAGTTATGGCCTCTCGAGATTAGTAGCAACGAAGTTGAGAGCTTTTAGATATTGAGAAAGAAGAGAGAGAGAGAGAATAACAATGAAAAGAATGAAAAAGATTAAATAAAAGATAAATTTTGACTAGAGAAATTTCATAAAAAATGTGACACACTATTAGAAAAGTGTCATTTTTCTGTGAATTTTCCTATAAAAAAATATTTATAAATTTTTTTGCGAATTTTCTTACGAATTTATTTGCGAAAAATAATTTACAGATATTTCTTACAAATTTTTTTACGAAAAATAATTTACACGAAATTTTTACAAATTTTGTTACAATTTTAATGATCATAGAAATTTTTTTCCATGGTAAAAATTTGTAGAAAATATTGTAAGAATTTTATTTTATTTCTTGCAAATTTTCTTGCAAAAATAAATTCGCAAGTAATGTTTACTAAATGGTAGAAAATTTTTGCAGGTAACTTTTCCTGCGGATTTTCCTACAAATTTTAATCCGCATAAAAAATAAAAAAATATTTGAATTTATAAGTTTAATATTTTAAAAAAACTTCAAGTCCCACATCGATTGAAAATAAAACAATTAAAGAATATATAAGTTGGGGCAACACTTACCTTGCAAGTTGATTTGTATGGTTGAGTGTTAGGCTTATAATCTACAATCTTAGAATTTAAAAGATTATGTATCAGATGTTCGAAGCATGGAAACAAATGTTTCAGATGAATTCATTATGAGCATTAGAATTTATAGTACTTTTTTTAATTTTTTCCATAAAAGTTATTCCTGTAGAATTTATTGCGAAAAAATTCGTAGGAAACTTTTCTGCGAATTTTTTTTTGCAGGGAACTTTCCTGCAATCTTTTTTTTCAGGAAACTTTCCTGCGAATTTTTTTTGAAGAAATTTCGCAGAAAAATTTTCTGCGAATTTTAAAATTCGCAAAAATATATTATCTACGAAAGTATTACTTGCAGATAAAATTTCGCAAATTTTTTTTGTAGAAATAACATTTTTTACAAATTTTTCATAAAAATTTATAGAAAAAATCGCATATAATAAGAGAAATTATAATAATGACATTTGCCAAGCCAATACCTTCTTTTATTAAGAGTAATTATTAAAGATGATAAGAAGTCCACAATAGTGTTATCAAAACTCAAATGCTCATCGTTTAAGTCAAAATATTGGATTGGATATTTAGTAGGTTATTGATTTAACTAGTGAATAACTAGTTGAATTTCATGAACCAATATATTATTATTATTATATACAATTTTTATATAAAATTTTTATTAATAATATAATATAAATATGTCATATATAGATTTTAATACTATATGGAACATGGGTTTGGTTTTAACTAACGGTAATTTTCTGTATTTAGACATAATTTTGCTAAATTATTACATGTGAAAGTGCAAAGTGTCAAAGTAGTCAGATAAAGTGTCCAGAAGCAATCAGACGTAGTGGACAAAGTCTGCAAAAGCAATGTGGAAAGAAAGGAACTTGGATATATTTCGTCTTTGAAAAGAAATGAAAGTGGGTCACCGATTTCCTACAAACCCATCTAAGTCAAACTGGTTCACAGTGGTTCAAAAGCACATTCAGACTACTAATCGAAGTAGTTTGGAGCTCAGGTTAATTGGAAATGATGTGAACATGTAAGTTAATAGTATGTTTGGATAGAAAATTTAAATGAAATAATTTATTTATTTGAAAAATTTTAAATTTTTTGAGATGAAATATTTTGTTTGAGTAGAGAATTTATAAAGAATTTAAAATTTGAATATTTGTGAAAATTTTTAAAATAGTATAATTTTAAATTCTCTCAAAAAAATAAGAATTTGAAATTTCTCATATTTTTTTCTTTTTATTTCACTTATATATTTTATTTTATTTCTTATCTCTTCATGTTTTTAATTATTGAATATTTAAAAATATTTTTAAAATTATTAAATATTATCTAATATTAATTTTTAAAATTATTAAATTTCTAAAAATTAACTAATATTTATTTTTATAAAAATTAATTTTAAAATCTCAACATATAAATATATTTTTAAAATTAATTTTATCATGGTGGAATCAAATTATCATATTCAACTCAACAATTTAAAATTTGAGAAATTTGAATTGACTTATCCAAACAAAATATTTTAAGAATGATAGAAATTGAAATCAAAGTAATTCAAATACCAAGAATTTACAATTTCTTGAGTTTGTAAAATTTTTCATCCAAACACACTATAAGGTTCAATCAAGGTGTGATTTTCTTGAAATTCTTTACAAGAAAATGTAAAGGAAAAATGAGAATGGAAAAAAACGGTCAATAAAGGTATGGTTGCCTGAAAAGAATACTAGGCAAGTTGGGGGGTTTCAAAGAAAGAAGAGAGAAATAAAGAAAGGGAGAGAGAGTGTAATAAAAAGTCCTTACACTTTACAACTTAATAACCAAACAAGGAAAAACATAAATTTAATTACTCATAATTAACATGCAAATAGTTGATATCCATATAACATTATATATGTATAGGAAATTAACAATTGAGAGCATAAATAAAAATTAGTAGGACTACATCAAAATCCTGCACACACATATATCTTCAATTATTCAAACTATAAATATAAAATCTTAAATTGTCGGTCAAGCAACTACCATCCACAAGTTGCATTAGAACAACACAATCAAACACCACCATCACCAACATGACACTCAAAAATCTTACTCGCCCTCCAACCTAATCTTGTCTTGCCTCCATAATATATAATATGATTATTGTAATTCAACAACAAGAAAATACAAGGATAAGCTCGTAAACAAGAAATCAACATAGATAATATATAAACAAATAAACTAGTTATAAGAACTTAGGAATACAACTTAGGAATACAACAACTAAACAACATATCAACTTACACCACAACACAACTTAGCAACATTTCAACTTATCAATTCAATTATACAACTTTATCATTATAGCACAACATATAATCATCTCAATTTTTCAACACAACATATGAATCAACACATCAACTCACAACTTAACAACACAATAACTTAAATAACATTGCAACGTGGAAATACATCAACACAATGCGTTATCATACATTTCAACTAAAAAATCTCTTACAACATAGGTGAGAATATCTAAGTGGCTTCACTTGGTCGAACCAACTTAACAATGCAATTTGTTTGGACTTGTTAGATCAATAGCAAAATTGGATATTAATTCACAACACAACCTAATTTTTCAAATTTTGTCACTTAAACTAGGAAAGTTCAGTACCCATCATCAAGAATAATATAGTTTGGATATGGGTTTGCCATGACATTAACATGCATTATCTAAGTCACCTATGGGTACAACTCACTAACTATCCTCACAATATCATGCACCTTTTTAGTAATTAGTTAAGAATTTTATCCTCGACTTCCTACTTTGCATAATTTGGCATAATGCATCTTATCAACGTAATTTCACACTACAACATGTTTCATGCATATCACAACACTATTACAATTCAACATATTTCTCATACATTCACAACACAACATACAAAAACAAGTTGTACATATTCATTCAACATACTCACACCCAATGTGATCAACCTGCACCAACGCCACTCAACCCATGTCCAACATAACCATGTTAGAGAACCCCTGACTGACTCACGTCCAATGCCACTTAACCTGCACTCAATGCCAATAAGGCTAAGAGTCTTTAACTTATATCACGTACAACACCATAAAGTTGTGTTCTACACAAAGACAATTTTTGCACTTGACAGAAACACAATTTGGCTTAACTATTTGAAATCT